GGATGCCCCCCCAAGAAAAGGCTGAAGTTGGGGATGTAACATGACAGGGACAAGAAGACCTCTCTCACAGTCTAGTATCATCTCTGCACATCATGGGCTGTGCTTACAGGAAGCAGTTATGTCCCAGATGGCAGATGCACCTGATGAATTTGCACCACTGCATCACCCCCGTCTTCTCCAGATCCCCTCTTTAGACATAAACAGCTGTAGTCCAGAAATACAGCCAGCCCAGTAGCCTATCTTCAAAATGGTCAATAGCAGATATGCAGGAGAAAGTAGGAAAGTGAAGTAAGGAAAGACTGATGCTTCCCCAAAATATTCTCCAACCCTCCATGGAACTTCTTCACCCTGAGGGTAATCTTTTGTGTTCAGTTGCCACAGGTGGATTTTATTCCATGAATACATCCCATCATTTTGTGAACCTATGCAACCAACCCCAATGTTCCATGGTAAGGAGGAGTTGCAGAGTAACAGGAATTTATTTGCTCTCTGCTCTTTGAATTTCTACATCAGTTCGAGACAGGTCTGTCCTGCAGCCAGAGGTTTCACTGCAGAGATATAGACACAGATGTATTTGTATGAGTATAGATACCAGTATATTATGGTAGATACCAGTATATAGAATTATGGCTGCAGGGACTTGGTGTTTGGTCACTGACCTGCACTTATGCACATGTCCCACCACTTCATGATTATTGGTACTTGAGCTGATTAGATGAACACTTTCTCTAGATGGTACAGTTTTAGTGATTCTGAAACAACACCAGCCTTTGCTTTTCATAAACAAACACAAGATTTGAGCGTATCATGATGGAAAGCCAACGTTATTCATCATGTCTGGCTTTTGCTAGTGTGACTGATGAGATTTCAGAGGTGTTTTAAAACAGGGGAGAGGGTAGCTGGTTTATTAGCTTAGACTGCACTGCACAGAAAAACACCTCATCACCTGAAGAAGAAACCTTGGTCCTGTTTGTCTGCTTTTACCCAGTGCTATTTCCCACCAAGAATTTATGAAGAAGAAACCTTGGTCCTGTTTGTCTGTTTTTACCCAGTGCTATTTCCCACCCAGAATTTATTCTTTAACTGTCTGCCTAAACTTTCTTCCAAAGGACCCATCAAGCTCTCATATCAAGGAGGATATTTATTAGCTGTTTCTGTCTCCATCTGAAGGAGAATAAATTTTGTCTTTACATAGACCTAGATGTGGGTTCTGAGACACTGTTTAACAAGAATCTTTCCTCTCCAAGTTCAAGCACTTTTTCATTCCATCTGCAAGCTCCTGGGGAGATTCATAAGGCCCTTAAGAAGTTTTCTGCCTGAAAGGTCCAGGCATGAACTACTGTCTGACAAATGGGCAAGTCAGTCCATGGTTCAAGGCTGCAGAGAACATCTGCCCCCTCAAATCCATATGGGAGGGTTATCATTATATAGAAGATAGAATAGTGTATAGAAATATTATGATCTGTTATATAGTTAAATACCATATGTTTGTCTCTAAATATATTTACACAAATATGCATAAATATATGTGTATCTTTTATGTACAAACATACATACATAATACACTGTATTTAGGATAATACTAGTGTAGCTATTTCAGCAAAAATTATGCCAGTCACCAACATCGTGGACATGTCCTCCTGTTTTTCACAGTTCTTTCAGTCCCCAAATCCAAATTTTGATGAACTCAGAGGTCTTTTCCAACCCAATTGATTCTATGATTCTGTTGTTCCATCCTTACACCTGTGATTCTTCCAGCTCTAGTCCTGAGTCTCTTCTTCCCTTCCTTCATACTGAGTGCAAAATGTATGCAAGCAGTTCCCACTCTAATGTACAGCATTCCTTTTTTCAGCAATGCTTCAGGCACAGGGGCAGGAGGATTTCCTGGAGCTTCGCCTCCATTCAGGATGGATATTAAGACTGCTCAGGACTCAAGGCAGTGCAGATTTGGGAGGCACCATGCTGAGGCCTCAATAAATCTCTACAGAGAGGCTTTGGAAATTATGCAGGCTGCATCAGCCCCAGTGCCTCTGTATTCCCAGTCCAGACCCAGACGTGCTTTCCCTGGAGGTCTGCACATCCCCTGCAAGTGAACCATACATATGTCTCTCTGAGTAACTGGTGTGTCAGACCTACCAGTTAAATTTTCTGTTGCAAGTCTGTAAGCTGTGGTTTGGGGGTATTTTTTAAATTTAGTTGCAATGTGTAAAATTAACCTTAGAAACATAGAATGGTTTGGAACACTTTCCACTGGCCCAGGTTGCTCAAAGCCTCATCCAGTCTGGCCTTGAACCCTTCCAGGGATGGGCCATTCACAATTTTTCTGGGCATCCTATTCCAGTGCCTCACCACCTGCTGAGTAAAGTATTTCTTCCTAATATCTAATCTTGTCTTGAATGAATAATTACTGTTCTCTAGTCAGTGAACTACAGTTAATAGGGATGAAGTATAGTACATTAATCTCTGTATTTATGAGAAAAGACATGTTGTTTTGAAAAATCTAGTTGGGTTTGTTTTTATTCTGTACATTCCTTAGCACATTTATAACTGGCAAATAAGGCTAAGAAGTGTGTGTGGGGGAAACAGCAAATTCAAGAACTCTTAAATGCTTCCAAGCTTTTATACTTTCTGAAGAGTATAAACCACACTGTAAGAGGAGTTTAGAGTTTCACCATTCAAATCCAGTTGAGTGATGGCTCATGGAAGTGTGAATAGGTGCAGTTCATCATGTCTCAGCCTTTCTGAGGGAGCCAGTGCAGTTCCCTGCCTCACTAAACTGAAGACAATGAGGTCTTCTCAAATTTATGAATAGTGGTTTCATTTTTCTGTGGTTTATGTACAGATTCTGTAACACACCATCGTGCAGAGTTTCAGACTGAGCATCCACTGCTTTCAACCTCCTGACTTAAATCAACTGTGTATTACCTTAAATTTGAAAAGAAAACAAATGGTTTCCTCACATTTCAGCGGGGAAACCATTAATAGTCCCTATTGCAGAAATCTGTCTTTTTAACTGCACTCTGCAGCCACTGAAAGCAGGACTCAGTTCTGTCTTGTGTCCACCTCAGAGAGCAAATCCATTAAGCAATTTTGTGCATTTCAGAAATGGTCTGTTTTCGATAAATTATGTAACTGTCCTGAGTATATCTGTAAACTGAATTTTGAACTGTGAGTATAGACAAGGACAATTAACTGCAAAAGGTGATTTCAAAACAGTGCATTGGATAAACTATAATGTTGCCAGAAAATGCTCTGTATTAAGGAAAGCATTTTACAGCAACTTGCTTTATAAATTAGACCAGCTGTGTTATGGATTGTAGTTAATTTTAATCACATCAAAACATGCAGAATTAAAAGCAGTTCAATGAGATGCAGTTTTAACCTTTCTAAGGGATGATTCTGCTAAATAGACTTTTGTTAGAAAATAAAGACAGCGAAACGAAGATAAGGGCTTGCACATTTTATTTCACTCTGCCTGAGAAATATTAGATATGTTTTACTGGATACAATACCTAAAGCAGAAATGGAAATAGATTAATAGATTCTCTGACCCCCCAAAATAACAAGGTTGGGTAAATTATCACTCTGGGCTGTGTTCCCAAAATAGAGTTGAGTAAAATATTACAAGTTCTTAAAAGAGGAAATATTAGCATGTATTTTTTTATCCCAAAACTCTAACACCACAAACCTTCACAAAGGAGCTGCTTAAGGTACCTGAAATCAATAGCCACTGACTGATTTTAGTTTCCTTTTAATAACTGCTAAAATATAGAGCTAGAAAATCTTTGGAATCTGAAACAAAAAATACCCTTTGTACCATGGTTTCTGCTTCAGATTTGAGGGGTCAAGGCAGAAGCCACACACTGTAGCCCTTGCCCAGCCCACGACCAGGCAGCAAGATGCAACTTTTGAATGCTTCAATGTACTTTGTGTTGCTGCTGCTACCTCTTCTCAGAACAACCAGAGGGTCCAAACCTGAAAGTACATCTCCAGTCTGCACCCATGCTGGTTGGGTTAGAAGTGTGATTTTGAATCTGATGTCCTCATCCTCTCAACTTGTGCTTTAGTGCTTCAGTGTCTAGCACAGCTGTCTGGGGTGTGGATTCCTTGCAGAGGAAAGGAAACTGTGCTATGTCAGAGCACATTTCATGCAATTCTGGCCCTTGGAACTCTTCTGTCTGTGGGACTGGATTACAGCTAGTCCAAAGTTCTCAAAATGTGCAAGTCCTCAGCATCAGCAATTCTGCCACAAGTAGCCTTCAGGTGTAATTGTCACATCTGGCTGAAGGTATTTGTATGTGCAGGTATCTAAGGTGTCCAAAACCTTTCTTACTCAGCAAACATTTAAATACAGATTTAGGTTAAGCCTCCTCTTAAATGGATGAGTTTGGGTTTAGAGCTAGACTTCTGGAAGTATTTAAGATTTCAAGGTGGTTATTGAGAGATTAAATTCTCAGTGAGGTTTTTGCTGTTTTTTCAGAAGGAGTGTTGCCACTTACACTGAACTAAACACGTTTAAACACCCTTTCAAATATGGTCCTTGGGCACTGGAAGCTCTCTCCTGCATCACACTGCAGAGCCATGACTCTGTAGGAACCTAGGTGTCAGGGGGTTTTGATAAGAGCAGGGCTTGGGAGGTGTCTGCTTGGGAGCAGACACCTGAAATATTCAATCACCTGAACATTAGTCAAATGCTTATTTTTGGGAGCCTTTGAAAAATCCATTACTTGTATCTTCAACTACAAGGAGACCTTTACAATCTGGCTCTTACGCTTTGTGGTGCTTCACAGAGCAATCTATAAATACCTTAAAAACCTGGGGCTACTGCTATGGATGCATAAGTACCTCAGTTATACTTTTAAATAAAACTTGTACCCTTATTACTTTTCACAGTTGGGAGCTTATGCTAGAATAATTAGAAGTGTAAGACAGTTGAGAAAGAAATAATTTGTGTGCTGAAGAATACTGCCTTTTAACAAATTTGTCCTGCTGTTTTACAGGTAAAGGTGATGTGTTTGGTGATATCTTCTGGAAGGAAACCAGTCTGGCCCACGCCTGTGCCAATGTACGGGCTCTGACATACTGCGATCTACACATTATTAAACGAGAAGCCTTGCTGAAAGTCTTGGACTTTTATACTGCTTTTGCAAACTCCTTCTCAAGGAATCTCACCCTCACCTGCAATTTGAGGAAACGGGTAAGGTGACAGCTCTTGTTTTCCCCTTTCGCTTACCAAGAGACTGCACAGTCTTGCAAACCGCTTGCAGTGTTTAACAACCCCCGATTTACTCTTGAAGTTTTCAGGCCATTTCAGATTGACTGGCCTTTCAGTAAGTGCTGTCACTGTTTGTAATGATGGCTCAATAAAAGTTACCTGTATTGTTACCTGAGATTTGCAGCTCTGAAGAGCAGTCCTAGCAGGATGACATATGAATTACATTTCCTTTCCTTTACTTCATAGTTGCTGGTTTTCAGTTTGTTTTTATTGCCTCATTGCATAATGTATAAAGTTAGATTTTATAGAATCATAGAATCCATATTCTGGAGTCCTCAGAGGTGAGGTTTAGTCTCTCACCTGCTAAGATACAGGTTAGAGGACAGTCTGATGGATTTACATGGCATAGACCAACTAAGAGAATTATTGATGTTAAACAAATACAATACACTCTGCAAAAGTACTGTATTAATACCTGATTCTTGCAGTCGTGTAGTCTAGAATTTTAATTTGGCAAGGTTAATAAAGTTTGGTAATGATTTTACATTCACAGCTCACTTCTCAAACCATCCTGCTCATTTTATAATCAATCAGCAATGCTCTCTATCCATTAGTTCTTTCAAAGAACACTCCATCTAAAAATTAATTAGCTATAAGGGTGTATCTTGAAAACAGGTTAAGGGATTCTTTAATTCGCATTATGGCTGCAAAATTTCATCTTTATAATTTTATTTTATGATTGATGAGGGCTATATAAATTTCATTTGCATAGAGAAATCTCATAACAATAATTTATAGATTACTGAGCATTAACTGTGATCTTCTAGCTGCTGAAACACATTTTTCTGCTGCTGTACCTTGGGCATTCCACCTGATAATGTACCAAGGCTACCTCAGTAGTTCACAAGACAATTTCAGCCTCTGCAGTAGCAAGAGTTCAACACAACTAGAATCATATCATAGAATCATAGGATTTAGGGGTTGGAATGGACCTTACAGATCATCTAGTCCAAACCCTCCCTGCCATGGGCAGGGACACCTCCTCACTAGATCAGGTTGCACAAGGCCTCGTCCAGCCTGGCCTTGAACACCACCAGAATTTAACTATTTCAAGTCTAGTTTCTCTCTAGCCACTGGAGCATTGTACAAATGCTGCTTTCAAAGAAGGTTTAAATTTTAGTGCATTTCTTGTGCTCGTTAATATCCTGAGTATGGCACAAAATACCCATGGCAAAAAGCAGATGCAATGGGATTTACAGTCCCCCACTGTCCGTGCTGGAGCCTGAAAGAGCTGAATTATAATCAGGTTTGGTTCCAGCTTGTCAGCTTACCTCTGACTTCAAGGTTGTTAACTCCACTTCAGACCTAAAGGAAGGCTTTGGGGCTTGAAAGCTGGTTTGGAGTTTCTAGCTTATCACTTCTCTGTTGATAAGAAGTGCTCCAAGCCTTGACTTCAGCATCCCCCCTGGCCATCTCACGTGCCACCAGCACTGTGATGACAGTTCTGCTGAGGCATTGCTGATGGTGATTTCATGGGACAAGATAATGCCACATACATTGTACCAAAATGTATTCTTTCCTTCTTAAAGCCATGAACATGTCACTTCAGCTAGCTTCCTGAGAAAAACATGGACATGTCTTTTCCTGACAGGGCAGCGTGCTGGAGTTCAACTCTGTAGTCCATTGATGCATGTGGGGAATAGGCTTCTGGCTGAGTTTGCATGGATTTTTCTTCTCTCTCACACAACTTTGTTTTGAGGAAAATTGATTTCCCTGCTGGGCCCTGACATGGGGCGTGACCCAGGCAGAAAAACTAATGCAACTCAAGTTCCCAGTACAAATACCTGCTCTCTAGCTCAGTGCTGGGTATATGGACTTTGCCATGGGTGCAGTCACTCAAAGTAATAAGGGACAGCATTCCTAAAGAAGTGTTAGATTTTGCAGAAGGAAAGGAAATGTTGATTGTGGGTATGTGTGGGCATTCTGTGAGTGCCAATGAAAGAAAGGTTGTGTTGATGTGGTACATGCGGAGTGGAATTAATTTCACTAAATGTTGAGTAATAGTGTCCAAGTTGAGTGCTAATGTCCAAGGCAGTCACTAATCATCTTCATAGGCCATGAAGAATGGTTCCTCTAGGCAATCATCTAGGCCATCTTCATTGTCCAGTATGGGATGGAAAACCATCCCCTTTTGATTTTGAGAGTTAGTGATCATGGGATCACTAACTTTTGAGTATCTAGGGTACATTAAATGAGCTTCACCTGTTTTCTACAGTTTTAGTCAATAACTATTTTGGAAGGAGTCTCACTTCTGGCATTGCAGTTAGATGAGCTGAGCCAGAGCCTGCTTTGCAGAAACTCAGTGGTTTGTTCCTAGTCACAAAATAGATCATGCTACATTCAACACCAGGGACACAATCCAAGTCCTGTTGCATAAAGTTATTCAGGGGATTGTTACAAACCTCATATCTGCTGGAAATATATGTGATTCCCTGTTGGGCTCAGAGGCATTTGATGGTGAGTTCATCTCTGAGGAAAAGCAGAGCCATCCAGGACAATTCCATCAGGCAAACAGAAAGCAGTTGTTCAGGCAGTAAGACTGGGCTGACAGCTGCACTATACCGCAGCATTTTGTGCTGGCGTCATGTAATCTAAATGGAAAGAAAATCATTGTCCCCTTTAATTGATTTCAACAGAAATATATACTTAGCACTTTCTCTACAGAGTCATCACTCATAAGGTTTGACATTTAATTATAACATAAATACACTTCTTGCGGTTCTCTGCACAAGATGATGACTGTTCTCACTGTCAAAGATGTATGGCAAGAAGGGTTCTTTCATCAGGTCTTCTCTTAGAAACACACATACATGGATTTGGGTGCACACACACGTGTTTGTGCTGCCCTGTCCCTCAGCCAGCACTTTGATGTAGTCCATAGACTGCAAAATATTCAGATGTTCAAAAGGCTAATAAATTAATAATAGTACTGAGCACAAAAGGTTAGTTCCACATGACAGGGAAGAGAAAGTCTTACTGAAGTGGGAAAACAATGTTTTCTCACTCCTAAATAACATTTAGAGGCCTGGCATGTTGAAAGAACTCCTTAAGGCATCTGCTCAGCATGCTATTACCAACCCTGGGGTTTTGTTGGTTTTTTTTTGTGTTAGAAAGCTCACCCATCATGTTGCACTTAGGAGCCCATAAAGCAAGTGTTCCTGCTAGCTTTTCCACCTGCAGTCATCTCTCCTGCCCAGGGTGGCGAGGTGACTTTTAATATGTAGTTGCAAAGTATTGTAGCATATCATGTTTCGTGCTCTGAAATCTTTATGGCACATCTAACATCACTAATGCACACTCCAAGGCAGAACCAGGACTTTGAACTTTCTTTTTTTTTTCCCCAAATAGGGAAAATAATTATTCTGGAAAGATATTCTTTAAAATCACAATGAGATTACATAGCTGACTCTGAGGACTGCAAGTTATAAAGCAGCGTTTGGGATGAGCCTTCAAAGAGTTAATTACTGCCTTCTGATATTGGAAGAGAATCTTAATAATGTCTAATTCATTAAGTGCCTTTCAAGATTTCACACAGCTGGAGGGGGGTCTCTCTGCAAGCTTGAGCCATGGAGCTCAGCCTGAAGAGGGGAGTAAGACTGATCTCTAGGAGCTTTGTAACATCCAACCCTGAAGGGGCAGGGAGCACCTAAGATTCGTAGAAGCTCATGGTTTTAAGGAATGACAAAAGTCAGAGGGTCCACAAAAGCTTGCAAAGTTTTATTAGTAAATTACACAGTTGGTATGGAAATTGGTATAAGTTCCTGATCTCCTTGTATAACACATGGCAGAGGGTTTTGGATAAAGGGATGGGGTGAAAGGGAAGAGAGGGAGATGAATTAAAGAGGGGGAGTGAGAAAGGAAGGAAGAAGAGGGAGAAAGAGTGATCACCAGTTCTGGCTCCATCATCAATCCATCTGGGGTGTCCAGGGTCATGGGGCACATGTGTGCCCAGGCTTTGTGGAGGTACCTGTTTATAGATAGGCTTTCCCCTCCATGGAGATATGTTTCTCTCTTTCTATGCAAATTACTGATCATGTGCAGTCCAGGCTTCTAGACTTTTCTGGAAGTGAGTTGGAGGTTTCAGGGGTCTTGGGTGGTCTTGATCCCCTTCCACAGTATATGGAGCCTTTTCAAACTCATTCCTGCACTTGCACTGTACAGTGTTGTGCTTATCTCTGGGAGACAGAAACAAGGATGTTGGTCCTGGAAAAGTGGCCCCTGCTCCTCTGCATCCTGTTTTTTCTCACAGTGTGTCATTACCAGCAATCCTTGGTTGGCTCCACAGCTATCCAGCTATTGATGTTTGAGACATACACTTTAGCCCCCTAATCTTCTAGGCTTCTGCAGGCTCAAACCCATATAAATAAAAATACCTTTTATTGATGGACAAAATTCAGGAAGACCTATATCAAGCTCCCACAGAAATTGAGTGTTCAGCTGAAATATTTTTAAAGTATTTTTTTTCCTTTTCTCATCATTGCTTCCATTTTCACCAGCTAATGCATGAACCTCCACCAAACTACAAGCCCAACACTGCCTGGGCAAGTGCAGGGAAAAATCCAACTGAATTTTTTTCCCTCTGAAAATCACAGGTAAAATTCTCCTGTGCTTCCATACAGCAAAGATTTCCCTCACAGATTGTAAGGTACACAGTTGCATCCTGCTGTTTTTTACCATGAGCAAAATGAGCTGTGTTAAAGGAATGAGTCAGGAGCAGCCAGGGAAGAGGACAATTGTTCGTGTCTGACCTCTGCTGCCTTTGCTCCTGGAAGGTGTGTTGGAGAATGAGCCAAAGAGATGTCAGGAGAAATGAGTGCCTTTAAGGCAATGAAATCCCATTTGGAGAGGCTCAGCTCTTTTCCCTGCGATGCTCTTAAAGCCAGGGACAACACTGTGAGCAACTGATGTTATCTAATTCCTCC